TTCAAATCTCCCATTTTGTCCAGAAATGTGTATTTACTGTCTGCTGAAAGGGTTATACCTGTCTTGTTAAAAATGTCTAATAGATCATTACCTGCATGGAAGCGAAGGGCAATACAGGTGTTGATCTTCTGCATTGCACACAGATCTTTATTTCTCTTATTCATGGCCATAGCATACATCATAGCAATTGTGGAATTGCCAGTAGCAGTTTTCTGTTGATCAGCATGTAATGGGGATGTTAATGTCTGAAAAACTCTAAAAACAAATGGGAAACAGTTTTGAAATTCAAGCAGACATTTATGCAAAATATCCTCTGATTTTAAGCGAGATGGATGTTGTAATGTTCTGAGGACTGACGGACCTGGTGGAATGTTCAACGAACATAAATTATCAGCAATGACTTCAGTTTCTAGTAAAATCAATTTCTGAATTTCAGACAGTAGTACTTTGTTTTTGAAAACATCATCTGCAGAACAGCATTGACTCTGGTTGGTTTTGTCGTCTTTCTTGCAGAAGAGCTCTTGTTTTGCCTTAACTGAATTCAGGTGTGTTGTATCCAATGGTGATGCAAGACTACCATAGTTATGATCTGTATGACACATCTGAGATTTATTTGTGTCAATTGGTACATCTGTTTCAAGTTCCAAAAACTGAAGTTTCTTTTTCTTTTTAGAGTGGGTTTTCCTCATAGATACATTCTCTTTATTGTTCACATCATCTGTATTTTCTTTTTTGGTAGAACTAGGTGTCAAGGTAGGTGTCTGAGAAAATGCCATTCGTTTTGTTGAACATGTCGAGGTAGATTTTCTGTTGACAGCTTCCTTCAATATATTTTGAAAATGTACACAGTTTTCTAGTTGTCTTTTGCAAGATAAACATATCTTGCAATCCTGGAATGAAATGGAATGAAATGTGATGTCTAAACACTTCTTTATATTCTGTAAAACAGCATTGTTCTCTGGGAGTGGGAGGGCTACATTTGTAATTATATTCCTTAACTTCCCTGAGGGGGAGCGAAAGCAGATAAAGCAATGCGGTTCCAGTGACTGTCCTCTAAAAATTGTCTTCAGAGGTGTATGTCTTAAATCACCCATAATTATATCTGTGGATTAATAAAAGTTAAGATCAGTGATTGTCTCTCACCTTATATAAAAAGTACAGAAAAAATTTCAATATGTATTACACATACCAACCTGTAAATGGATTTTGCTGACATTATCAGGTTGGGCACACACACCCAAATGGTCATTTAACCCCCGTTTGGTGGTCAATCGCCCATATCGGCATCTTTTTTACCTACCAAATGGTGGTCTTTCTTATTCAAATCCAATTTTTATTTAAATAAAGCAAAAGCGCATTTACTTAGGCACTGGGGAATTTTAATTAACATATTCCTCGCACATTTAATACAATTTAGTCAATTTTCCATGTGGAATTTCTTTGGAACTTCGTAAAAACGAAAGCCACAGTTGTTCGTGACGGCCGAACTATTTGCTCAAACAATAAGAAAAATTATTTTGTTGTGTATAGTTCGGTAAAAAATATATTTAAACAAGAGGTATTAGTCTAGAGAAGTAACTTTTTAAATGATCTTTCAATCTGCGTCTATATAAATCTCTATAAAGTCCCATTAGACAAAAGCTCCTCGTATCTTATTCGTATGGTGGGCACTTATTGCTATAATATTCATTTTTTCTACATTTGAATGTAACATTTATTTTTATTTCCATTTAGGATGAAGTTACGATATCTGTGCGACCCTTTGTGGTTTAGTATGCATATCTATGATGTATCTACTATATTTATTAAATATTTTTTAATAAAAGATTTACAAAGTGACATTTGCAATTATTCTTGTTTTTATTCCAAGATTATAGTTTTCGAACGATTATTTTATCATGAATTCACTGCATATCCTATTTTTATATAGAATAAAGCCATTGCATATGAAATAAAAGGAATAAAAGCAAATTCTTACCCTTCCTCTTATTTTACTTTTTGAAAATTAACACTAATGGGCCTCCGTAGTTAAATAAGTCATTTGACCCAAGTTTGGAAAAGATCGTCATTTTTAATTGGTTAAGATAATTGATCGGTGGCCCGGATGACAGAAATATGAAGTGATAAACACGATTGATAGATGCAACTACTCGCGAGATGGAGGGAATTTTTCTTTTTAAGTTAAAACACAGAAACGTTACACTTGTTTACATAGGTTACGATTTTGTTAAATATTTGACCGACACTGCGCCAAAAAGTCTGCGTTGAAATTCTGATTTTTTTCGTTCGAAGTTTAGAAAAATATCAATATTTTATTCCCCGTGAGTTGAAATTATGCGCCATTTCACGTCATTCCAGAGAACTGAACAAAACAATTTTTCTCTCCCATTTGGTAGGTAATAAAGACGCCGATATGGGCGATTGACCACCAAACGGGGGTTAAATGACCATTTGGGGGTGTGTGCCCAACCTGATTATCTGATACATGTACAGTATATGTTTTCCACCTATAATACAATTGATTTTATTAATCAGTATTACAAAAGTAAAACTTAAGTAGCAAAAGCAGAAGCATGGCAAAAGTGCACACTAATATTCCCATACAAATGCCAATGGTTGCATAACTTCTCGGCTGCATTTCCTTGACAGCGATAACGAAACTAATTTAGAGGAAATTCGAAATGAATACCCCATTTACAGTTCGAATTGAAAAAAACAAGATTTTTGCGACTCTTTCTGATCAACATCTAATATACACGTTAAAAAGTATAATTTCAAAGATGTTAATCATCGTTATAAAAGAATATTTACCTGTGTTGCTGATACCACGGTCTTCTCGTAAAAAAGTAGTTCGCGAGAATTTGGGAGAGAAACGTATCCCATAATGCCTGCCTGGAAGAGTTTGGTTTGGTACTAGGGGGTCTGACAAACGAGAAATATCGAAGAAGAGATGTAGTTAAGATCAATATCACCAAGCTTAGTGACAGCGCAGAAGTCATAGATCTTACGAGAGAGGAATTTCGAGAGCGTCATATTTCACTTCATTCAAAGGCGTGGGAATACGCAGAAAAATTTGAGGAGGTGATTATTAAGCCTACGTCACATGTTCCCTCAGAATGTGTGGAAAAAATTGGTGTCGTTCATATGAAAAGTTTTAGTCTCATATAAGCCTTTTTAGTCTTGCTTCCTTATTGGCAATGAAAAGGGGTTAATACTTTACTCTGTACTCATCGGAATCGAATTCTATATTGATAATATTTTATGTGAATAGCATTAATCAAACATTTATCTTAATATAGAAAACATTTCCAAGTTGTCATTAATCACAGTTCGAAAAATAAAGGAGAGATTGATTAAGTATTATCTAACATGTTTTTTTAAGATTGAATGAATTAGTTCTACATGTAGCTGTAATCTAAAATAAATGGAAGATTATTTTAACTGAAACTTAGCAAGATTACATGTAAATGAACAGTGTAAACGTTAATCATGTTATAATTTCACAAAAATGTAGGTGCTTGAAAAGGTCCTGAAGTATGAATTAGCTCAAATTAGTCGAAGCAGTTGAATCCGGATATAATTTCTTTACTGTAAATTAACCTTAAACACATACAGATTTTCATGTTGCTTTACTAATATTTCCTCGGCGGGGCATTCATGTTCAAAATTTTTTTTAAAATCTGTATATCCTTCATCTTTGTGTTAGTATTTCAGATTTTATGTAAATGTATCGTAAAAGACACAAAAAATTTTAAAAATGCAAACATGTTTTTGTTTTTTTTATGAAGCAGAAATTATTCAAAATAAAAAAAAATTCTACTTGAAAATGTAGTTGTTTTCTTTTTTTTTTTTTTTTTTTTGGGATCCAGAGCATTTTCTTTGCAAGAACAACTGGCTAGAATCTAACCACGTTTGGTAATACTCTTTCTGGGTAAAGGGAATGCATTTTCTGTATGAAGAGTCATGTTTTCTACCATTGGGAGACGTCGTTGGGTCATTTATAAATTTCCCACTCGGCATCAAGAAGATTATAATGTTTAAATCCTGGTAAATAGGAATACATACATTGTTTTAAATATGATGAAGAAGAACAAAAATTCGATTCATATTAATATGGAAGCACACGCATATATTGTAGAATCATTGTTTTTTTTTTTTTATTTTTTTTTGTATGATGGTCCCATATCATACAGGATATAGCTCATGTAAAATCGTATCCAACAAGTAGATGCAGTTATGACGTCACAATGGCGTCAAGGCTAATGGATAAAAAGCACACAACTCGTTGGATAAAAATCGTATCAAACTACAAACAAGAGGCCCATGGGCCTGATAAGTCACCTGAGCATTATTCAACACCTTTCCAGTGTTTGAATTAAATCCTTGTTTTAAGCCAGATGCTATAGCATTTACAATTTGGTCATCATAACTATACACCTAGCAGTTCCTTAGTTTGGTTACTAAATACCAATAGGCAGGGTAGGGGAAAAATGCATTTCAACAAATCAGTAATATTCAGCAATAATCAGTAGTGCTGCTACCACACATAAACCCTTGACTCTTAGGGCTAGATCCACACATTGCACAATTTTTGGAAAGGCATCCTTTTTTTTCAAAAATATATGATTAATACCAAGGAGCACATTTCAAACAATTCATTCACTTTCAGTATATAAGTACAGCCCCCCCCCCCTATGGTACAACTGACCCTGGGGCCTTGAAATTTACAATTCTTAAAGATTAGGGCCCTTGCTCATAACAATATAGGTAGTTCATCTGCTTAAAACCTAGGAGCAAAGAAGAAAATATTCAAAGATTTAATGTTTTTTCACTATACATATATAATCAATGCAGCCCCACCCTAACACCAGAATCCCTGACCCAGGGGCCATAAAATTCACAGATTTTGTAGAGGCACTCTTGCTCATCATAACTATGTACTTAGTTAGTTTATTCAATACCTAGGAGCAGAGAAGAAGATTTTCAAAGAATTCATGTATTTTCACTAATAATCAAAAGAGCCCCGCCCTAACACCAGAATCCCTGACCCTGGGGCCATTAAATTCACAATTTTGGTAGAGGCACTCTTGCTCATCATAACTATGTACTTAGTTAGTTTATATAAAATCTAGGTGCAAAGAAGAAGATTTTCAAAGAATTCATGTATTTTCATTATATAATCAGAGCCCCACCCTTAAACCAGAACCCCTGACCCAGGGGCCATAACATTCATAATTTTGGTAGAGACACTCTTGCTCATCATAACTATGTACTTAGTTATTTTATTTAATACCCAGGAGCAGAGAAGAAGATTTTCAAAGAATTCATGTATTTTCACTATATAATCAATACAGCCCCGCCATAACCCCTCACCCTGGGGCCATAACATTCATAATTTTGGTAGAGGCACTCTTGCTCATCATAACTATGTACTTAGTTTATTTAATACCCAGGAGCAGAGAAGAAGATTTTCAAAGAAATTATGCATTTTCACAATATGATCTATATAGCCCCGCCATAGCACTAGAACCCCTGACCCTGGGGCCATGAATTTCACAATTTTGGTAGAGGACTCAATGCTCATTACATTCATGCAAACAGTTTACCTGCTTGATGTCCAGGAGTATAGAAGACGATTTTTAAACATTGCACTAATTTATGTGGTTTTGGCCCCACCCCTCAGGCCCCAGGGGGGCGGGGACCACGAAATTCACAATTTTTGTTCCCCTTCCCTCATAGATGCAATGTGCCAAAATTGGTTGAAATTGGTGCAGCGGTTTCAGAGAAGAAGCAGGAAATGTTCAAATGTCAACACACGACGCACGACTGAGTGATCATGAGTAACTCAGGTGACGTAAAAAAATCATTGGAGATACTATATTTATTAAATTAATGTCAAAGAAATTTCTGCGCTTAGGTTTTCAGTTAGGATCAGAATGATATTCAAACTCAAACTCTGAATTTCTTTTTACATATTTTATTTATTCTACAGATAAAAAACGCCTCACAATCTCTACATTATTGAATTAAAATCTTCATTTGTCAAGAAACAAGCAGGATCAAACAAC